TGAGAAGATAATGAACGGAAAAATGTAAACACTGGGTGAAACGACAGAAAATTATACCACAGCCCAAACACAGGCTGCCTCACCTGGATGTATGTGATTATAGGAACACAGGACTGGATGAGGAGTCAGTCCATTATACTTTTCGTGTGACCAGACGATTGCCTCGGAGGGAACGAGCAACAGGCCGTCAATATCATACAGAAACAGCAGCTACAAATTAATTCAATCCAATAACCACTCCTGCTCTCACCTGCTGCAACACGCTCTACAAGCGCTCGCAATCTACCAAGGAATTCTTTCCGCTCGGAGTTGAGGGGTGGAAGGTGCGCACAGAGGGGTTTGTGGGCTTGATGTTGTGATTGTTGTGTAATTGACAGGTATGTTCAAATCCAGTGTCTGATGCAAACATTGCACCACACACTCCCCTACTTGGGTTAGACAACTAGCACGTTTGCTGCTTCCTGGAACATGAAAATACATGCCAAGATGACAGGGCTATTTGGAGATGACAGGGTTATTCATTTGGTTAAAAACACATTGCGTGCAGAATAAAATTGATCATGCATTTGTGTATAATAAATGCTATTCGGGGGACGTTTTTTGTTTAGTTTTGTTTTTTTAGTTGAAAAAAAAACAACAACTTTGCTTTCTAAGCAAGGAACCAATTGTAACTTATGCCACGATGAGGAAGAAAAGCTTTCTCACTTTAGTCAACCTGCTCGTATTTTGCCTAATGAGAGAAAGAGAAAAACAGATCAAAGGCCAGCAGTTGTCATCTTCTTTCTTTGTTGCTGCCGGCAATGAGATGCAGGAGCTGCAAGCCTTGAAAACAGCTGCCCTGAAGCAGACTGCAGCTCACAGCTGTGCGTCAACTCTGCTTTCTGCTTCACTTGTGAAAAATACTGCAGAACTACACAAGGGTGTTATCACACTTTAACATTTGATCTAAGTCATGGATATCATACTTCACAATGTGGTTCTCATTTTCTCTCACTCTCTCTCGCTGTATGACAGGTTTCAACCCCTCGACCCTGGTAAGCCTGAACATGATAGTGAGGATGGATGGATGGATTTTCAAAGTAATATACTGCAGTATTTGATGCATTGTTAGTGCTGTTACAGTCTTCTTGGTCTTCAGCAATCATGAACTTGCTTTAGAATTAAAATAAATCACAGTAAATATCAAGTTTGCAGTATTTTAACATGTAATTTATGTTTTATTGCATGTTACTCCACTTTACATGATTATAGTGCCAAACAAAAATATATATATATACCTGAAAATGAAAAAGAATTAAAAAAATCAAATGAGAAAATTCTTTATTTATCCTGATTCTAGTTGCTTAAATATGATTATTTACCGTTTTCTTAGTCCTCCTTACAGTAAACTGAATATTTGGACTGTTAGTCCTCATCCTAATGACACACAAGAAATACCAAATAATGTTTATTAATTTAAGCAGCAATTACATATCAGAGAAGCTAAAAACAATTGCATGTTGTGTAAAATGAAAACATATACTTAATCCATCCATTCCTCCATCACCAGTTAACCTAACATGGATCTCCCTAGACTGAAGGAGAAAACCCACACAGGCACAGGCAGAACATGCAAACTTGACACTGAAAAGCTCCAGCTGCTCAAAATATATGCTTTTCTTTACAAATTGCAGCTTTCATCTGTGTATAGTCCACATTAATAATTGAAAGCAGTCTCTTTCCCAGTGTCTGCTAGAGTGCCTCTGCTTCCTGAGAGTGAGCGATACTTTAAATTAGGACCAGAGGCCATTATGAACTCATTAAAACTGTATAGGTGAAACTGGGTGCTTCTGACTGGGCTCCCCCCAGTACTCCAGTACAACACACAAAAAGCTTTAAATAAAATAGAAGCACATAAAAATAAATCTTCAGGATCAAAGTGACCCTGAAAATAATAAAAAACTGAAAATCCCAGAATTCTACTCATTCTGCACCTCACAGCAAATAGAAAATTCAGCAAATAAGCTAGTAGATTTTTGACACTGTAGGGAAATTAATAGAAATCACTGGTTGCCTGGAACACTCATGCGGCACGTGTACAAGTGATTTGTCATAAAAGACTGAGCACATGGTCTTTACAATGATGAGATGAAATTTAGTAAAACACCAAAGCAAAAGAGAAAATCCACCATAATAAATTAATATAACCTTTATCGCCAGCACAATCCCTCTGTCAAGCTATATCGGAGTCTTTCAGTTAAGAACAGCCACCTTCATCTCTCTCCATTCGAAATGCCTGTTAACAGGAATGAAGTCAGTGATTGATTTTACCTCTCTAATCTCCTCTCTCTATTATGAAGAGATTTCCCCTCTGCACCTGAGGCCAGCATGCTCGTCTTATTTCTTATCTACCAGTGAGTACAGTAGCCACTCTCAGGGGGCTGTGCTAACCCCAATCAGCCAGACAATTCTCTCTCGCTAACACACACACATCCACACACACCCCCCACACACACACACACATATTCATGAAGAGCCAGCAGTCTGCCAGACGGTGCCCTGAGCTGCCTGCAAGCAATGTGAGACAGACAGCCAGAGAGGTAAAACCAGACACAAAAGCAGCTCAAATCCACGACAGTACAGTGACAAGAACACTGTAGTATTCTTTTAGCTAAATTATCACATTTTACATCTATAAAAAGAAAGAAATTGCTGATATTTGTAATACTTTACTTGCCACAGAGCCCTTCTGCAACTTTTAGCTGGAACATGTGGGAGTGAAGACAATAAATCTCTCAGGCTCTGACATGATTTTGCTGTGACACCATAAATCATCCTCTCTCACTATGATTAACCACCTCAGTTCATGGTGTGCTGACATGGAGCTGACAGTGATGGGAACAAAGGAGGACACAGGACGATTGCCTAAAGATGGTCAGGATACAGATAAACATCGGACAGGAAGTGGAAACAAAACAATTACCCCTGCCGTTATATGGAAATATAGTAGAAAGGAGGGGCAGTGTGTGGGTAGAAAACAAAAAACTTATGTTTGACCATGCCATAAAGGTTTGTATGTTAAAAACAGGATATAACAGACTTACGTTTTTGTTTAGTTTTTTCTTCAGATGACATTCACAGTCAGCCACATAAAGAATGTGTATTCAGCCTTGTCTAAGCCAATCCATCTGTTTTCTGACCCTAACTCAGGAATCTGAGCAGCTTACTTCAGCGGATGCTGCTCACTGGATGACGACTAAACTACAACATCAGGGGAACAAGATGTGGATTTGAGCCAGATGTAGTAACATCATGGTTCCCTCAACAACAAACAAAAAACTTGTTCTCACATGGCTTTGAATGGCCTGCAATACAGACCTTTACTCATATGAACCCTTAAGCTAATAAAAGAAAATAAATTTTTTTAGAATCATTTAGTGCTTTTTCTAGTTTTAGCTTGATTGTGATAACTGAAATAAAAATTGTACTTGCCTACCTGAAGTTTGAAATTATATATATA